CCAGGAAGAAAGGTCAATATTCTGGGAGGTGATAGTGTCGGTCGTTTTAAGCAAAAATGTTCGTATGAATATACGTCGCACTCCCCACCGTTTCCGAGATAGAGCCACTTGAATGTCTCGTGTATTTACTTCTTTTCTGCACACTTCACCCTTCGTCCAATCTCATAAGCGTCCGCGGGAATTTACTCTTATACGTCCGTTGACTGTTGCGCTGATAGCATTGCAGAAATGTTCAAAATGCACTCGCATATGCACAAATGTCGAATGTGCTGTTGAAGAATACCGTCGGCGCTTTCCTACACGCGGAATCGTAAAGTGTTTTCCGAGGCTTTCAATGCATTGAGTGAAAGTGGAACGCTTCCCAGTGTTCATGTTTCATCTGAACGAGGACGCCAACGAAATGTGCTCTATCTCGGAAACGGCGCGGAACGGGGCATACATTCACACGAACATTTTTGCTTAAAATTACCGACACTAACACCTCCCAGAATATTGGCCTTTCTTCCTGGAACACCCTGTATATTATATTACGCGTGGGACAGGAGTTTTTTCGTCGCCGCCTCCTGAGCGAGCCGCGGAAATCCCGGGTTTGTTGTACACTCGCGCTCGAGTATCTCGGCGTTTACGTATTTACGGGTTTCTCTCGGAAATATTCGATGAGCGTTGCGCGAACGTGGCCGGTTCTATTTTCAAGTGGAAACCGCGAAGTCATAATAATTCTCACGTTCCCGCTTCCTCTCGCGCGCGGGAGATTATTTGATCAGCGCGATTTAATTTTGAGCAAATAAAGCGAGCGGACTTGAGCTCGGAGCACTTGAAAATATCGCGCCGGTTCACGCGCAATTTCACCCGCGCGGAGACCGCGTACAATTTATCCTCGCGTTAAATTGAACTTGGCTGTACGATATTACGTAATTTTTACATTTTTTTTTGGTTCAAATCTAAGTTGCAGAGATGAAAAGAAAAAGGAACGTGGCTTCGCACGCGCGATCGTAATCGAAAATCAAGGTCCATAAATGCGATCGAGTGGAAATATTTCTTTGCACGCGATATCTCGTATAGGTTTCTTGTTTTTGCTTGTCCGCCGCTCGCGTACGATTTTCGTCCACGGCCGTGATTATACTAATTAGCGGACATGTGCATTTTTTGTCAAACGCTTATCGCAAAATTGTCAGTGTTGCGCGAGAAGAAAGAAAAAAAATTAACGGCAACATCCGCTTGTATCTGCTTGCGCGACGTGCATATACGCCTTACGGATGTTTATTTAACTTTCTTAATGATAAAACGTTTCTCAAATGTCTTAAAAAATACGCCGGTTTATCGTACGCCGTGCGAAAAGTGTTTGGTCGTGAAATCTAATTTTGAGTCGCGAAAAAGTCGGTCGTTTGGGTGAAATCTAATTTGAGAATTTTATGTAATTTAGTTTAATTTAATTGATTGCTAAGAGAGTAAGAGGTACAGAGCACAGAGAAATGCGATATTGGAATAACGCAAAAGGTGAGTCACCAACAAAGTAGTTGCTTCAATGCCTACTCGATAGGAAGAGTAGAAATAGAAACGTAAATTGTCATGACGCATGACTACAAAATGAAAACGAAATAATATAAATACAATGAGCCAAACAAGAATGAATACAAATAAATTAAGAAAATTTTAATTGGAGAAAGAGTGTCAAGAGTGGACATTTCTATTTAATAATAATAATACATGATAAATATATTAAATATCAAAATTGAGCGAAGCTCATTGTCGTCAGTGGTAATTAAACAAAGGGAAAATTTGTTTAAAAGTCAAGCAGACTGGCAAACAAGTGATCTTTATTTAAGTCACAACGTTTCGACCTCTTTATCGATTTATTATTATATAAATTAGATTGTACCTGAAAAGGACTCGATAAAGAGGTCGAAACGTTGTGACTTAAATAAAGATAACTTTTTGCCCGTCTGGTGGACTTTAAAAAAAAATTTTTCCTCCGTGTATATTAAATATATTTATGTATATTTCGCGCGTTCAACACGTACGCACGTACGCGCACACGTACACGCGTGTTTCTAATTTCGGAGCACGGATGCTCCTTCCATGGGCGGTCCTCTCAATATTACGTCATTTTTCGTAATGTCTGGAAATAATTCATTAGTTACGACACACGAGCGACTCTGTGCCCCGCACACAAGCGTTATTTATATATTGCATGTAAAATTAAATGATATAGCTCACATTTATCACAGCCGCGCATCGAGCGAGATACCACAAATAGCCTCGAGAAAGAAGAGCTTGTTTGAGCTGATAAACCGATTAACTGTAAGCGGCCAAGTAGCGGACATTGTGAGAAAATCGTTGGATTGTTGGTTCATTTCTATTTTAGCTTCGATACTTGCAAATGTGCCTCTCGTGAATTTCTGCCGCGGCGTATCGACGGCAGAAACCGCCCGTTCGCGACACCCGTCCCGGAATTATTTTGCATTAATTCAAGCAGATGTAGGGCCCCCGTCCCCCCCGAATTGCTAAAAGTCAGCCGGCCGGCGGCCGTTCGGTGACCAATAGACGATATCAATGCCAGACATTGTGTTTATCTTTAGCCACGCGAGTGCTGTGGCGTTGCAACTTTGCGGCTCGAATGCTCGTTATCGATGGCGATAATTGGAGAACGTTTCATCGAAACCTTGCCCCGCATCGTTTATCGCCCCTTTAAAGTACATTTCCATTCGCGCCGGGTAATCGCGGCGATAATAATCGTCCACTTTCCCTCCACATCCTCCTTCCTCGAATTTTATTAATTTCGTCGTCGACTTTAAAACGTGCTCGATAATCCCATTAAATAATCGGAAGTGTATTTTGGAAATGCCGCGACGATATACTCGAACGCTCATCTGGTTCGCACGCGAAAAGACGAACAATAATCTCCATATCATTGATATCGTGTATGAAACATCGTTTTTCCATCTCAGTGATTCGATAGCGCGGTTATCTGCCATCATATTAATCATATGTTATCGCGTGAAAGTTACATGAAAATTTTTCTTATCTCTAGCGGATTAACGAGCGATACTTTTACGTGGGCACTTGATAATTCATTTTATTCAATTCCGCCAGATAAGACATATTGTAATACATTATATATTGTAATATACAATATATAATAATACATAAGTATGTAATAAGTATGCATTGACCGATATCTTTTGTATGTTATGGCCGTATCACACTAGCGGTTCGCGTTGGCGTTGCCATTGCCTATTGGACCAATAGATGCCCGGCTATTCTGAAGCCGCAAGCCGCCATCGTCAACCGCTGTTCTCTGATTGGTCGAGACGCAGTAGCCAACGGCAACGCCAACGCAAATCGCTAGTGTGATACGGCCATTAGGTCGTTTCTCGATTGTGCGTAATCTCTTTGGTTTTTCTGCTCAAACGCTCATTCTGGACCAGGGAAAGAGATCGAGACAATGTTCGTTCTACAATAGCTCTGCAGCTCTCTTTTCGCTTTTCGTTCTTTCCCTCTTGCTCTACAACGCTAATACTCGCACTGATACAAAAATATGTAGTATTTGAAACTATAATTGCATAGTAAAATAATTATAGTCAGGATTATCATTTTTATAGTAATTAAGTATCACTATAATATTAGCAATAGCAACCATATATAGTTCAAGTTAAAATGGGACACTCTGTATAATAAAAAGCGGGGAGTATTACTTCCGATATAAATACGATTATTACTATTACATATAGTTATTCGAAGTTTTACTTGTGGTTGTTATTGCAATATTTATAGTAGACCTTACCAAATTAAAAGCTCGTTTCGGTTTATGACAAGCATATCATAAGCTGCATGGATCAATATTGTGTCTATGAGGACTATAATACATTGTTAGGTCAACTATAACTTACGTAGTTGGAAGAATTATCGAAATGTGGTTGGCTCCTAAAATGACTATAAATTATAGTGAGCTTGTGGTAACTCCAACCATTTTTTTTTTCTGTCAGTGAGAGTCAAATATTTTGGCATCAGTTTAGCCTCGTATAATTTTTGAATTGGGAGCAATGAGGTCGAACTAAGGAGAAATATATATTGAACTTTTGACCTCAGATAGGCCTGAAAAGAATCGCCGCTTCCCTTTTAGCGGTAAAGAGGCCAGTGCGAGTGTAATCAACAGAGGTTCAGTGGATTCTCTTCGGCCTAAGGGGTTTCAAAGAGAGTGAGATATTTTATTACAGTCTCTTTGAGGGTTAGAATAAGGTTGAACACAAATTGTTTTACGCATCTGGGCCCCAAATTGGAGTTTCAAACCGACTCCGAGGTCCAAATGAAGGCGGAATAGAATAATTGAGGCCCATTCCGAGACCAAATACTCGGGTAGTTTACGGAAATACAGAGCATTTTGACCAAATGTACACCCAAGTTCTCTTTAAACCGACTGTAAAATCGCTTTGCGATTCATGCTCCCTCCATCTCTACGTAAAGAAATGTATGTTTGATGACACGAATCCGCGAGCCCTTATCTCGCGTAAGATATCGTTTTTGCGTTCTAATGCCGTGTCATTATCAGGGAGTCGCGACGCCTCCTATATATGCCTTCTCGTGAATTTATATTCGGCGAAATTAATCTCGAATTCTTCCTCGGCGAGATCGCCCGCGAATTATTCTCGACCGGCGTCCGCGCTGCAGCTCGGAAATTCTAATTGCCGGGGACGTTCAATATCGAAAGTCAAAGGGCTCGTGACGCAAACGCCGAGCTCTTTCCGTGCAGTTACGAGAAACAGAGTGAGGTGTATATTAGGGGTAATGCGATTTAACTTTACACCATGCCCCAGCTATCTTTTTATCGATGTCGTACAAGTAACGCGGATCGATAAGAGCGACCCATGCCTGGCGTAATCTAGGAAGTGTAATCTGGGAAAGATATTCACAATGTGACGCCGTAACTGCGGCAGAAACGTGACTGGCACAAGTGCGTCGTAGTTCTTGTCTCTTTTTTTCCTCGGCCGCATTAATCATCTCAAAATCTCCGCCGGCACCGGATATAGATAATAACGTTATGTATATGCGATCGGCACGTCGAAATACGTCAATTCGTCGGACAGCCTGAACCCATATTTCAATGGCGAAACATCTTTTTCTACCGTCCGGCAAATTAGTCATCTACCAGGCATCATTTCTAAATATTATCCTGTTATTAATAACTGTCAGACGGAAGTCAATTTACTGTAAGACGTCGACTTATATAATCGTCCAGTTGCCGGCGCTTTCAGTTCGATCTGCAGAGTGCAATTGGACAAATCGTCCCTCTTCACCCTTGTGTGCTCCCATCCCTGCGAGATCCAGGGGTGCAAAGGTGCTCTGTAACGTTGTATTTCTGTAAATTACGTGGCACCGCGAAGCGAGGAAGAAGGGGCGAAAGGGAAAAAAGGCTGAACAGAACTGCGAGGCTTAGGGCCAGCTTTGCAAACGTCGGTTAACCAGAGATTAGTCGAGACTCCCTATCCTCTGGTTAACGGTTAGGGTTAACGTTTTCATTTTCTGGTCAACGGTTAACCATGGCTGCTTTCCTTTTAGGGAACACAGTCGGCATTTTTGACACAAATCGACACATGTCGCTTTCCATTTGGAATTCGACTCAAACTCAATCGACACTTTTCGACTCCGCTCGGGAGGAGAGTCGGAGTGTGTTTGTGACCGAAGATTGCATCCGCTTCGAGTATTTTGATAGAATCTTCTTTCGGCAGAACCTTTTCTTCAAATCTTTGCCGTTTCGCAGTGGCAAACTGCGCTCGAGTGTGTTAACCTGTGTCGATTTGCGTCTCCTAAAAGGAAAGCAGCTTATGTTACCATTAATATATAACAGCTACCAAGTCGCTTTAACTTTAATCCCAGTTTAACTTACTTTTTACTCAATTCCAATTCCCGAAACTAGAAATAGATAAAAAGTAAGTTGAACCGAGATCAAAGTTAATCCGCATTGGTAGAAGTGGACAGAAGAGACGGAGAATCGATCGACCACCAGTTAGCAGTCTAAAGGGTCAGTTTCACGAACGTCGATTAACTGTTAATTAGAGTTCAGACCACTCGTTATTATCTAAGGCCCGGTTTCACCAACGTTGTTCAAGCTTAGCTTAATTCGTTCTTTGCCTCTTTTCAACTGTTACTGCAGAAAGAGACAAACGTGAATTAAACTAACGTTAAAGTTAAACGACGTTCGGTGAAATCGGGCCTGTCTCTGAAAAGCTAAAAAGTACTAAAAAGAAGAATCAGGCCCGTTTCTACCGACGCAGTTTAACTTTAATCCCGGTTCAACTTGCTTCATATCTTTTTCAAGTTTCACGAAGTGAAAAAAGATAAGAAGTAACTTAAACCGAAATTAAAGCGAATCTGCATCGGTAGAAACGGGCGTCGGAGGATCAATTAGTCGTCGGCCAGCGGTTAATCGACGTTTGTGAAACTGGCCCTAAGGGCTCCACGGGCAAGAGCGAAAGATCGCAGGGCCTGGAGCGACGCTTGGCGTCCCGTCCGACCGGCGTTTCTAATTGCAGGAGAGTCGTGTCGCAAACGTAGCCACGCTGCACCATGACGGCCGCACCGAGGGGACCGATATCTCGCGGCTGAAATCGCCTTGTGAAATCGCCATTCATCGCGCGGCCTTCGGATACGGCGCTTCCGCGGGAAAAACGATCGCGCGTGGCGTGCACGCTCCAGTACGACGCCGACTGTCGCCGGGCGAGGAGCTGCGTCGTCCGCTGTCACCGGCCACACGTGCTCCAGCTCCGGCTCCGGCTCCGATCTAACCGGTCGACCGACGAGGCACCTACGGTTCTCCGATAATCGGCGTTCCGACAGCGGGAAAAATCAGAGGCCGGCGGGGCGTGCTCGACGCTCTCCCTTCTTGGAAGAAGCAGGTACGCGAACCACAGTCGCCTCCCTTTTTCCGCCCATTGCGTGCTCGCACGCGAGCAACTTCTGACGTTTCGCGCGACAACGTCGCGGACAGCGATCCGTTCGTTCTATCGATCCGCAATTATATCTGTCTAAATACCGAAGTAGGTACAAAGTGACAGCATGATTGACGGTCGGGAAATAACAGGGAAATGAGAGACGAGAGTGGCGTACTTTCTAAGATCCGCGACTCGCGCGAGGCGGACGTGTCTCGCGAGCGGCGGACGTCCCGAAAAATTTCCCCAGTTTATCCTTCGCGCCTGATCACGTCTACAATGTGCTCTTGCGTCTAGAAACATTCTACTTTGTAGCCACTTAATACGTTTAGGAAGTTCGCAAGTTGATAAATTGTATCCACATTGTACAATCGCACGTTATCGATAAATTTTTTAAGCGTATCGATATGTTTGTACAAAATGCGGTGTTTGTAATCGCAAAGAGCACATTATGGATTGGTCTTCATGGGACGACGAAGAGGGTCTGCGGTTAAGGATATCTAAGGCATATTTTCATTAAAGCCTAATCTACACGGAGAGAACTTTGTCTTAAAATTTATCCTGAAAATCATGTCATCGTGGGACAACATGGCATTTTTAACAACTATGAGAGTTTTTTTGAAAGTTTACCGTACATTTTATTGATAAAACGTATATTAAGTGTATTTACTAGTAAAATGTATGGCAAAATATCAAAAAGCTCTCATAAAGTTCTTCGAAATGCCGTGTTGCTGTACGATTACAAAATTTCCAGGACGAATTAAAAGAGAATACACTGTAGAATACACTTGATAAGGGCCAAAACCCATGCAGAAACGTTGCGTTATAATAAAGGGAAGTTTCCTGTAGCCAGTTGTCGAATTGTGTCGAATTATTCGACCCAATTGTTAATTAATCACTGGCGATTCGATATTCCAAATTTTGCTCCAATTAAAAGACAACGTGCTCTCTGTATCTGGAAACATTTTATTTCGTATAAACAAATGAAAACGCCTTAAAAAAAATTGTCCGGCGACGTACGATTGTATAATATACAATTTATCAAATTGCACGAATTTTTGCAACGTATCTACTGACTACGAAGTGGAATGTTTCTAGACGCAAAGAGCGCATTGTAGATTAGACTTTAAGATTGTAAAACGTAAAGAGCTGCTTTAATTTTCTTTCAACGGGAAGGATACGTGTTGTTCTGTAAGAGAACGTAATAATCGTCTTCAATCCACGGGGGATTATCGATTTCGTGAACATCGTGAGGCGGAAATGCACGTTTACGCGTATCTACTTCTGCCCTTTAGAGATAACGTCGCAACAGTGGAAACTGCTGTTTCGCGAAAGCGACAATCCGTCATCCGCGACATATTGCGCGGACATCGCGGTAATCGCGATTCGGTAGATTAAAGGTCATCGGGCCGGGGATTATCTCTCAGCGGATCCTTTTCCCGCCGCGGAACTCGCTCGAAATTCTGCGCGCGCGATGCAATTCCGCTCACGTGCGCTCTGCCATATAAGCCTAATAGCGAGTTCGGTTGTTTGCACTGGTGCGCACTGAGTGCACACTAAGGCTTGTTTACAGTCAATTCTTATGTTTGAAGATCGTCTTAAATGTCTCGTGAAATATTTAGCTATTAAAAGACTCTGTATAACATCCACGGATCATTTTTTTAGGCAAATACTCTTCGAACATGTATTTAAGACAAAGTTAAACGTAAAAATTGACTATAAACAGGCCTTTGTGTGCACTCGGTGCGCACTGGTGCAAGCAATCGAATTCACTATAAGTGACGTAATTGTCGGCGCGGTGAACGGAGCATGCGACGGCGCTTAATCCGTCAATTATCCACCTGAGAACTTGCGCGGAAAGTTTAGATTAAGTACCGTGGCATTTCGTAATAGGAAGCTTAATCCGAACGACAAAGCGGGAAACCGTAATCAATATCGTTGAATTTGCGGACGTACGTCCGGAGTGGCGGGAATATCAGTATCAAACGTGAGGCTGAAAGTTTCGCAATCGTCAGTGACGTCAGCAATATTGACGGTGACAATGAAACTTATTGTGTCGTGTCTTAAATTTAATGTTTCATCCGGCAACGTGACGGAGGTGTCTTTTCGAAACTTTTTTTCAGACCGCGGAGTCGCGTTATCGTGACGTCGCGTCTTCGTTCACGCGAGGCATCGCGGAAGCCAACGACCGCCGGTACAAATTTGTCACCTGAGACCCGGCGTGCAGTTTAATCGCGCGGGTATTTCAGCTCTTGGCGAAATTTGGCGGATATTCCGGGTCGTGCTCGCGCCTAAGCCCTGGCTTGTGAAAATACCCTCGGCTTGCGACCCGAGAGTACTCTCGATACCGCCAGCCTCTCTTACGTCAGCGTTTTAATTTATGCCGTCGCTTTAATTATCAGCCGTCCTTTCAAAGTTACGGTCGCAAGCGCGTTACGTCATCTCAGGTGGGAACGAACGGTGACTTGCGAAAAAGAGCCAATTCTACACCGCGGGATGCCGTGTTTGTCATCGTGCACTGATAGGAAAAAAATGGTTAGAATAACTATAATCTCACTATATTTTATAGTGAATTCTGGCTCCAAACATATTTTCATACTTTTATTAAACATGCAAAATACAGCAGAGTGAACACAAATCTATAGTCAGTTTCACTGTGACATAAATTAGCACAACCATATGAAATAGTTATGGTAAACTAAAAATAGATTTTTTGTGTAGTTAACATATAGTTAACCGTACTATAAAATAAAGTTATCTGAAACGCAGCGAAAAATACGATAAAACGTACGAAATAGTAATAAACTGTACAACAGTATACAATAGTAATAAATCGTATTTATATTGGAAGTCATATTTTCCGCTTTTATATTATATATACATTGCGTTCACTATGTTTATTGCTTACATCACTTTGCACTCATAAAGAATAGTGCAAGAAAGCATCTTTCAAAGAAAAGATGTAATCTTATTCGAATGTATAAACTTATTAACACCCTATGCGGTTTTCTTCTTACGAGAAAGTCTTATACCGCGTGTCCCTCTAGTGAGGACATTTCGAACCACTTCGCTTTTGTTCACCATGTGATTAGTAAGGTGGATGATAGAAATGTCGCTGAATTTACTATTACGGCGATTGTATTTACTATACAAAAATAATTTGCTAATTTACCCTATTTATTACCTGGATATTTTAACAGAACAATAGTTAAAAGCTTATATTTTGTAGTAAATTTTTTAAATAGTTGGCACCACTGTGTCTATATGGTTGCTAATGTTATAGTAATAATTACTATAAAAATAATAATCCTGACTATAATTATTTTATTATGCAATTATAGTTTCGAATATTACATATTTTTTTATCAGTGCACGCGTCCGTATCGTGAGAAGCACAGTGATTAACGAATTATCGGAGCGCCTCCTCCGGCTGCACAACTTCATTTACGCTCGTCGCAAATGTGTCCAACAACTCTGGCGGTGGAATTAGTCAAACAAGAGTTAAACTCAGGGACGAAATTATTATTCCGGATACACGGGGCTTTTTGGGTCGAGTGGATTTTCGAACGTGATGACTTTGCATTGGTTAAATTAAAGAGACGCGAGTGCAGCGAGTCCGAATAGTAATTGCTTTATCGTTATTTCGTTGTACAATATTGAGTAACTCGAATCGCTCGCGGTTGATGGGTAAAAAAAATCCGACCAACAGACACCGCGCGGCGATCAAGTTATCAATCTGCTTGATACGTTTCTGACACGAGTCTGAATAATGTATTCGCAATGCGACTGTGGTGCGAGTGCATTCTGAAACGCGCTGCATCATGCTACGAAATTGCACGGCGGTACGATTTTTTTTTTCTTTGCGATGCAAAAGACGAGTGGCGGCTTACGTACGTGCGTTACGTAACTATTGATCTCGGTGGCAAAAGCGCGACTACGTGTGCCGCGAAATTCTGCGGGGTCTCGCTTTTGCACGGTGGCCGAAATCTGAGATGGCGAATTTGAGTCCGCGAGCGTCCCACGGCGCCATTGGGCAGCACGCGAACGAGCGCATTCGAATTGTTCTCCTTTCCACAAAAGAAACACTCGTAAATCGCGTTACAATGGTAGTAAAAAAAAACAGAATCGAGCGATTGCGCGAAAATCCGAAATCGCGCAAAGATGGCACCGGCGAGTAGATCAACGGATCCGATGCAATACAAATCACGCTAAAAAATAACCTTTTTAAAAACAAGTAAAAAGACGTCAAGTATAAGCGCCATCCAATCAAGAATTATATAATTTAATTATTTGGATATATTTTATTAGAAAAAAAAACTTTTTTATCTTCTCTACAAAAGTAATGATATTAAATTGCGCCAACTAAAATGGATATTTATACAAACTAGATACTTTATTATTTTAAAATGTTATATCCAAACACTCGAGCATAAGATTTTACCGGAAGAAATAAAGGAGACAATAATATTAATGAGACAAATTTTTAATACTTATTCAATAAAAATATAATGCAAACAACTTTAATACAAACAAACATTTTATTAAAAGATGGCCTTTTTCGACGTAATACAAATATGTATTTTTCGGGCAAATCGTTTTTTTTTTAGTCGAAATATTGAACAGCTGAAATAGTTCGACGCTGTCCGGCGACACAGTGGAACAGCGATACGCGGGTTTTCGCCGCGCGGGTCTGCTACTAAACAAAAGCGTCGCCGCGCCGTTGCGAATGACGTCTAGCGTCATTCTATTCAGTCGGCTAATGAACGAAACGGCTAAACGTGTTTAAGTGACAAAATGCGCCGCGAGCGGGTTTGTTGTATAAGTTAACCCGTTACAACGCGGGTTAAATGCCGGGGTAATTTTTGTGCGCCGAATAATAAGAGCCGGCGGTCCCCGCTGTGTTTACTGAATCGTCCGGTGAAATTGATTAACATTCGTCTGCGCCGTTTTGCGTGTGGACGAGCGAC